GAGGTGCTACTCATGTGCAACAAATCCTGCTGTGCAGAGATTGCTCACAATGTCTCCTCCAAGAACTGCAAAGCCCTCAGGGAAATGGCAGCCCAGCTATCCATCTGAGTCACCAATCCCAATGCTAGGCTGCACCACAAAGAAAATGAGCAGCCAGCTGGGTGCAAACTTTACATCTATGCTCAAGTAAAACCCTGAAACCACCCCGCAAAAAAGTCTAGAGGGGGAACAAAAAACAAACAGAAGAAAAGAACTAGTCATAATTTTATTAAGAGGTGAATACTGATTTAATACCTAAAGGACCACAATTGTTTTCGTCATTCTTCACGTTCAAGTTTGTCTTGTCATTATTTTTAGTTGTGTCTTCTACAACGACGAGAGATGAAGACGGGTCTTTCACCTTTAGTAAGGGATCAGTTAGACATTTGATGTTGAGCAAAAAACAAAACAAAAGAAAAAGGTGAATGACTTACACTAGTGTATTCATTATTTCTTTCAAGACTTCTGTACGTATTTATTTGACAGTCAAAGGACAAATAGGAGGAGACAGATACAGACACACTCTTCTATTCATGGGTTTGCTCCCTAAATTACTGTAACATTGTGAAACCAGGAGTCACAGCCTCCATCTGGGTCTCCCACACAGCTGGCAGAGGTCCACGGAATTGGGCCATCTTTCGGTAGCCTTTCCAGGTAAGTTAGCAAAAAGCTGTATGAGATGCTAATGTATGTGGCAGCTTCACCTACATATGACAATGCCAGCCCAACTTTACAACTTGTGGATGTACAAGTACAGTTTTTGAATGAATCTACATAGGGTGGGTATTTGGCACAGTGGTTAAGGCACATCTTGAGGGCTCAGTGCAGTAGTCTAGTGGCTAAAATCCTTGCCTTGCACACACCAGGATCCCATAAGGACACTGGTTCATGTCGCAGCTGCTCCACTTCCCATCTAGCTCCCTGCTTGTGGCCTGTGAAAGCAGCTGAGGAAGACCCAAAGCCTTGAGACCCTGCACCAGCATGGAAGACCCAAAAGAAGCTTGAAGCTCCTGGCTCTTGGCTTTGGATCAGCTCAGCTCTAGCCATTGTGGCCGCATGGGGTGTGAATCAGTGGACAGAATATCTTTCTTCATCTCCTTCTCTCAGTATATCTGCCTTTCCAATAACAATAAATAAATCTTCTTTTTTTTTTTTTTTTGAAAAAGACAGCCCTTGAGACGCTCATTCTCCATCTAAATGTCTGGATTCCCATTCTGACTCTATCTCTTGATTCCAATTTCTTGCTAGTTCCCTTCCATGAACACCACCACCTCACCAGCGGGCAGTTCAGGTAGATGTGTCCCTGCCACTCCTCTCAGATGGAGCTCCTGACTGCTGGCTACAAGGCCCAGCCAAGGCTCTTCTGGGTACTAAAGAGAAACAGCAAGTGGGAAAGCTTTATGTAAGTCTATCTCTCTCTGTCTCTCTCCCTTTCACACAGGTAGAGAAGCTGTAACATATTATTGGCTATTAAGTGCTCCAAGATAAAACCAGAACTAGTGATTCCTACATGCAAGATCTCATAATGGCTCATTCTTGCTAAATACTTGTTTTTAAATGGTAAAAGGCTTTATATGACATAATTATCTGCTAGAAATAATTGTGATCATTAACCCAAGGATACATTTGATAGAATTATGAAATCTGTGTTATAAAGATTACAAATTTTAATGTATTCAAAACAAAACAGAACGAAGTGAGGAGTTCAACTGAGATAAAACACATTCTTAAGAATCCAAATTAGAGCATAAGAGGGCTCCCAGTATTGTGTATTTTTTTTCCCTTTGGAAACAGATTTTCCAGAACTGTAACCAAAAAAATCAAAGGACTGAGCCATGTATTTCTCTGGAAAGACCCACCTAAATCTATTCTGCTCTACAGTTGCCATGCTTCCATCCCTTCACTCTTTAGAATTTGAGGCACAAACAACAGGGCCTTCAGATTTGAGCACAGTTCAAGGTTAGTGTCTCATTTTTGTTGCGTTTATCGTGTATTTCAAGGTCTTTCAATCTTTTACGCTTAGGCAAAGAATTAAACAATACATTTATCACTTGGTGTCCACAAGTGGAAGGTTCCAAGGACCAACCATCCAACTCCTAAATGCCAACATCCACAGCTACTCAAGGCTCTTATACTCTGCAGTGCAGTATTCAGGTACAATCTACACATACCTATATTTTAACTCAGTTCTATACTGCTACTAATGCTAACTCTGTGACAGAAATTGTGGTAGCACTATCGAGAATAATGACAAGAAAACATTCTGTCAGACACAATTCATTTGGTTTTCAAATATTTCTGATCTATGGTTTGCTGAATCGATAGCTGTGGAATATGTGGGTGCAGAGGGGAAGATTATGACACTAAGAATAGTTTCAAGATCCCAGTCTAGCAATTTAATTCATCATTTCCCATAGCAAGGATTTGTTTGCAAAACTTTTTTTTTGGCATGTAAAACTTTATAAATTTCCATGTTAAAATAAAATTCCAGCCAGCTCAATCATACAAATCAGAGGAGTCATTAACCTCAAAGAGGCCTCGTGCATCCCTCAGAAGTTGTTTTCTGCGTATTTTAGTGTTTTCAAGTCCTATTTGTGCTTCATCAGCAGCTTTCCGTAATTTTTCTTTCCATGGTCCAGGTTCTTCTGAAAGCTGAAATTGAAACAAAAAATTTCACTCATCATGCACGTTTGTAAACAGATGAATTCACAAGGCTGGTGGTGTCATTAACAGACATCCAAAAAGGCAGTTCTGCTACTTCCAGGAAGGAAGAAGACTCCTATTACGAAGAATTTCCAAACTGGGATAGTTCAAACAAGACTAAAGTATTCTTCAACTGACTTACATATGTTTATCACATAAAAGGCTTACTGAGACAAACACACAAGTGCCTCAAAGAGTTCATGGAGAAAAACTAGGGACAATATTTGGTCACTAAAAATGCTTTAAAATCCACGCAAACTTTGGATATTATGAATTTTTCCATAAAACTGTTAATAACACTAAGATCAGGCCTCTACTTAAGGGGCCTGCATCCCATGTGGCTATCAATTCAAGTGCTGGCTGCTCTACTTCGGAGCCAGCTCCCTGCTTATGTCTTGGGAAAGCAGTGCAGGATGGCTATGTTCTTGGGCCGCTACACTCATGTGGGAGACTCAGAAGTAGCTCCAGGCTCCTGGCTGAAGACTGGTCCAAGTCCTGCGGTTGCAGCCATTTGGGTAACAAACCAGAGTGGAAGTTCTCTCTTTCTGTCGCTACATGTCTCTCTGTAAATCTCCCTTTCAAATAAAAGTAAGTCTTAAGAAAATGGAATTAAAACAAATCATTGGATTTGTTGACTGGGTGCTAGCTAACACATTGCTGAAAACATGAAGTGACATTCAGTCTTAAAGCATTAGTGAACGATCGTATTACAATGTTTTATTCCAGTAACACAATTAAAATCACAGAAAGTAGTTGTAACAAGTGATGTTATATAATTAATTTTTTATATAAATATCTAGTTTTGATTTGATCACAAGCTTAACACAGGCCTGACTTGTTTTTGACACCAAGATGGCAAAAGACTGGTGCTTTGTTATGTTAGAGGCATAAACCCATAAGGTATTATACGAAATGCATCAAAGATGCATAACTCTCTTTGAGAGTTATGGGTAGATAGACAGGAAACAAAATTATTATTAATATTAGAGAAAATGTTGACAGAAGGTAGACAGAAAATGCAATCATATTAAATGATCCAGATAAAGCATTTAGAGTCATAGTAATGCAATTACTGCAAAGTTTCTTGCTGAATAACTATAAATTGATTGGGGGAAAAAAGGAAACAGAACACATGAGAATCAGTGTGTCTTGCCTATATAAACAGGGAGAAAAAGGATACATGTTCAGTCCTCATTTGAACTACCTCCAGGATCCATTTTGCCTCGAAGCCCCGGATAAGCAACAGGTGCTAAACGCTATTTGCTGTGATTGCCTAAGTGTCAAACACCCTGGTTTACTTTCACTCCGAGGAAAGAGAACCAGAAGAATATGCACTTGTGCATCCCTATCCAAAACACACAGTTACAAGAGTGCAATGGAAGTACCCTACCGTGATATTAAGTAGACAAACAAAAAACAAAAACCACCCTGCTCTTAACATGTGGTTGGTCACAAGGATGCCCAAAGCTCTTCTCATTACATACTTGAAAGCAAGATTCACTTAGAGTACAAACCTGCAGCAGTTCTTGGTGAAGCTGCACATTTTCATTGAAAACCTTCTCTAGTTCTGCTTTAATTGCCTCATGAATAATTTGAAACGGTCTGGTCGTTGTTGTAGCCTAAGTAGAAAAAAAAAAAACATTAGGTCAATAACAACATAATACAATGGCTTATCTTCATGGACTCCCTGGAATCTTTATGTGGATAACGGCCAAAGCATTCCAACACATAGCAACATGGCAGTGTACCTACCAACACGGCAGCAAAATGCCAGCAGAGGTATTCCAGAATAGCAGGAAAACAGAGCAAAGAATCAAGTACAGCTCTGCCACTAATCTGCCATGTGACCTTACACAAATGACAGCCTGTTATCAATGGCCACGTATTGCATAGCAGATTTTACCAACTACGTATTCTGTATATCCGCCACTGAAAGTCAAACTGCATGAGGGTTTTTTTTCTGTCTTAATATGTTAAATAGCAATCACCTTCAACAAGCTTAGTAGAGCAATAGCTTTTCAAATATTTGTATACTATTATAAACTTTTCTGAAATGCCTTATGGGTGCGTGTATATATATATATATATATGGAAATTGAAGATCTAACTCTGAAACCCTAACATTATATAGTATTCCTGAAAAATAAAAACAAGAACTAAATTTAAATTATTTCAAAAATAACAGAGCTACAAGTGTTAGACAAATTCAACTTACGTCAGCAATTTGTGAGTTGAGGGACTTTCTTCCATCTTTTACGGCCTGTAACGCTGGTAAAATCTTTGCCACCTGCAAAGAAAGTATCAGTCAAGAGACAAGTATTTACTAAGCCCTTGCAGTTTCCAAAACGCAGTATCTCAACTTTGACACTTCCCAACACTTAACTTAATCAGGGCTCATCACTCCATGCACAGATCTGACTAACTAAACTCACATCATGATTCCCCTTGCTTGTCCTGACCAAACATTTTAAGTAATAAAAACTATTCAGTGTGTATGTGATCATTCAACTTTGTAAAATTATTCATGTAAGTTACATTGGCATTGTTTAGAAAGTTCTGTATGAAAACATGGGGGGAAAGCCCACTTTATATATGGAATCTAAGAAAGGAAAATGGTGGAGGTGGAAAATGTTGCTCTTTCTTTTATGGCCTCTGTATTCCTTACCTTTTCGTACAGTACATGATATACTTTAGTCAATACCATTACTTTTTGAAATCCCATAAGCATTCTTTTTGTAGCATTTTCCTTAAATACAAAACAAAAAGCCTTACCAATTCAGGTCGATCACATTTTTCCAATTCTTGTTCAAATTGTTTTTCAACGGAAAGAACTTTATCGTCCAGCTTAGATTTGCAAATCTTCAGCTGTTCATTGGTTGCCTAAGAAAAAAGCCAACTTGGTAAGACAGATGTGGGAGCTTTCAGTTAGGGGAAGTCAGGTGACTTCAACCAAACATATGTAGTATTAGCTAAATCTGTTCATAGATTCTGATGATTTTCAGAACAGTAAGATCTTAGCAATTCTAGTGGGTGCCAACAATCTTCTTCATAGGCAAAGTATAAACATTTAGGGTGAAATAACCTAATTGAGTATATTAAATAGTGTCATCAAATCAGAGTTAAACACAAATCAAGATTTGATATTTGATATGAATTACAATAATTGTGCAATTAAAAAAAGTTAAGTGATTAATTATTCCAACTGAATTTTAACCACTATACTAAATGTCTCTGCTATTCACGACCCTTCAACGAAGTTGTGTAAAATTGAAAACCAAAATCAAAGAATGTAAACAGGCAAAAATAAAAGGAGAAAAGCTCTATGTTTTGCTGCTGAAAAAAAAACTTGTTTTTCCTATGTCTCTAAATTTAGCTGTTGTTGCAGCAATTCTCTGACCTGAGTTAGAGTTACTCTACTGGTTTATTTGTATCTATAGATTCTACTGCTAAATTTCTTAACATTCTACCACGTACTTTGCGTTCAATTATTACTACTATTCCAGAAAATAAAGACTGTGACTTTTCATTCTGCTATGTTACACAACTGCATCGTCTTCACAACAAGCTGGTATATTTCATTATTTCATTTTGTCTACACATACAACCCAGCTTGAATAAATGTGCTTGCTATTGAGTTTTTTCTGTTCTGTTAGCATGCCAAATGCTTTCTAAAATTCTCCCAATTGATCAAAACTCTAATCAATTACTACTGGGGCAATAACTTTAAGTGGTAAGCAAATACATATGGTTATTTTTGATAGTAGCTAACACAAGAAGAAAGGATTAATACATGTACCATATTTGTGACCCAATTTATACCATCACCATCTTGCATCTGTGCTCTCTGGTTTTGACTTTTCAATCTTTAAGCAGCAGTGAGATTCTCCAGTCACTTAGCTGAATACATCTTAATTTAGCTAAAATCAAATGGATTTTCCTTATAAGGAGTTGAATCACACCAGGCTCAGGAAAGCTGGATCATAAAAATACTCCTCATTCAGTAACCTCAGGTTGGTAACTTGAGACTGGCCAGGTTGGGAACCTTTTTTTTCTTTCTTTCTTTTTTTCCCCAGAACTCAGCAAGTGATTTTTGGAGAGCCAGTTCTGAAACACTTAGCAGCACATCAATATTTATAATGTAACTTCTGATCCAATTCCGAATAATTCCTAATATTCTTGAGGATTACATCTAGGCCAATACCATGACACAATTTCGATAATTCATTGTTGCCAACTAGTCCTAAATTTGTTTGAATGAATCCTTTGTCTCTCTGTGTAGTAAACTGAGTCCAAAAAAGGAAAGGTCACTTCACAGATTTTCCAAGAAGGAAGAACAAAGAGCTTCTACAGAGCTCTCCTACGAGCTGAATAGGCATCACTCAAAACATGTACTACCAACGGTCTATTTCCAATATTTAACCATTTGTAAGTTATAAAAACTACCATATTTTTTCATATTTCTTTGAAACAGAGTTTGCTGACAACATAGTATCTTTAAAGTCTATGTTAGTCAGCAACACTCCTCGCCCCAGCTTTCAAAATGTAGTCATTTGGTCTCTTTAACTTCAAAGTTTGCCCTTCTTCCGACTCCTCAAAGCTGGCACCTTGCAAAGATCGCTCTAAGCTTTCATACTGAAACAAACCAACACCGTGAGCACAAACTATAAATCATTCAAATAAAGATTTTTTTCATTTGTTTGGAAGGCAGGGCTTCACGCAGAGAGAAAATGAAAACGTCAATTTGTAGCAGAATTTGAAACATCATCAAAGTAAGCCAAATCAGAAGAGACTTGAAACACATATATTGAGGGAAGGGCTCCTTTATAAAATATAGAAAAAAAAAACACATAGCAAAAAGAAAAATACAAATATACTTTCTTAAATGTGAAAAGGTAAGTCCATAAAACAGAAAATCAAATGAGCTAAAAAATATAAGAAACTCATTAGGACAACATGGAGTAAATCCACAATGGGACCACATCACTTCTAACAAAATGGCTAAAATTAGTAAGATTTGTTAAGCATTGAAGTGAGGAACAGCATAATGCCCATACACTCCAAATCAACTGTTTACACAAAACTATCTACATATAAATACTATTTCCTGACTCTAATTATTTTTGTTTTCAAAACTCTTACCTCTTTTTCTAGAAAGTTAGGTTTGTCAAGTAGATCACAATTTTCTTTTATTAGTCCAGAGTGTTCTACAGCAAGCTTTTTCTTTTTTACTAAAAAAAAAAAAAAAAAAAAAGATAAAATGTAAGTTTTTAATTTTATGCAGAAAACTGATGAGACCTAAAATAGGAAAAAGACTGCTTACCTACATAAAGCCTGCTTGCAATCTGAAACAAATTTTTAACAAAAAAATATGTTAAGGCAAATATATATATATAGCTAATAAGCATATGTAAATTTAATTTTACCTCTGCCAATTAAATATTACAAGTGATTTCCGCAAGACAAATGCTCTAATGAGAAAAACTACACATTAATGTCCTCTTATCAAAAATTTAAAGTATATATTATGTCAACAGCTCTGAAATGGTTTTTGGTAAAGATTCCTGTTTCATTTCACTCCGCCTATTGTTCCCTAAACATATTTGGCCCTAAGACAAATGTTTTCAGGCAATTCTATTATCATAGCTCCTAATGCTAATACTCAAACCTGAGAAATATTATCAATTGGACACATGTCTCAACTACTCTAAAGAAAACAGTAAAGCAAATCTTCTTCTTCTTTGATCTTTCTCTTTAACAAATAATAAAGCAAGGGAAAAATCCAGTTTAAGAGCTTAGTGAGGGCTGAAAGGTAAGATAAAAGGAAACTGAATTCATCTAGAGAATAAGGATACAGAGAAAATTAAACAAGAAAAAGCAGGCTACAATACAATCCTACAAATGTAAACAAATATAAAGTAAACTAGTAAGTCAGAACATTATTTGGGGAAGCTCCTCAAGCTTAAAGGAAAACCAGGTGGCCAAAAGGATGGCCCAAATGTCTAATCCTTTGCCTGCTAGAACTCAGCATCGCACACAGATGTTAGTTCTTGCCCTGGTTGCTCGACTTCCCACCCAGACCCAGCTCCATCCTTATGGCCTGGATGCTCGATTCAAACTTCATCCAAACTTGATAAACAACAACAACAACAACAAAAAACAAAAAAAGCACTGAATGATGGTCCAAAGTCTTGGGACCTTGCACCCATGTGGGATGCACAATAAGCTCTTGGATCCTGGCTTCTGATCAGCTCAGTCCCTGCCAGCATCACCTATGGTGGTGACACTATTGAGAGTGAACCAGCAGATGCAAAATCTTCCTCTCCCTCTTCTTGTTTCTGCAAATCTATTTTTTCCAATAAAAAATAAATCTTCAAAAAAAGTAAAAACTGAAAAAATAAAAGGAGAGCCAATATCTGAACAATAGTACTTCAAAAAGAGAAACTGACTTTAAATGGAGAGATTTCTCCAAATTGACATAAAGACAATCCTGAGTCTAGAGAAGTCGAAAAGACAAAGGAATTTTATGGCTAGACACATGATACTGAAATCAGAACATCAAATGCAAAGACGCTCAAAGGGCCGCCACAGTGCCACAGTATGTTACGCTATCACCTGTGATAGCAGCATCTCCTATGGATGCTGGTTGCTCTATTTCAGATTCAGCTGTCTGTGAATGCATCTAGGAAAGCAGTGGGAAGTGGCCCATGTTCTTGGGCCCATGCCACACACCTGGGAGAACGGATGAAACTCCTGCCTCCTGTCATCTTTGGCCTGGCTCAGCTTCACTGGTTGCAGCCAAAATTTGGGGACTGAGCCAGCAACTGAAAAATACCTCCCCTCCCTCTGTCTTCATCCACCCTCCAACTATGCCTTTCAAAGAAATTAATTAATTAATCCTGCTTTCCCCACACCTTTTAAAATTCCTCGCGGTCCTGTTTATGTAAATGCTGAAGAAGTCACAGACACATCCAGGGATAGATGTGCAGAGTGAGGAAAGGGGGAGAGAGAAGTTTGTATTTTCATCTATGTCCATCAGGACAGTGAGTGCACCCCTTCCTGTTGCATGGCTTCTTGTGACCCAGAGAAGGAGAGTGGTTACATGCCAACGCCCTCAGCTCCAAGTGAAAGGCGACTGGCTGGGAGAAAGGATCAGCTACTCCAGCTCCAGTCCAAGTCCTTATTATTGACATGGGAAGCAGCTAATGGTTGCTCAAGAACTTGAGTTCCTGTCACATATGGGAGAGACACTGATGCAATTGCTGGCTCCTGGCTTCCTTCTGGCCCAGCCCTCAGTTACTGCAGCCACTTGAGGAATAAATCAGCCAGTAGATTGCTTTTCGCCTCTCGCTCATTTACTTGAAAGCATCAAATAAATAAGCTTTCTTTTTTAAGTGGAAGAAGTTAATAAACTATGCTCGAAGAAACTAAATACATCAATAATCATTCATCATTATGATAAACTGCTCAACTTGACCTACTGATTGAAAACTGTATGGGTAACATGGCCACATCCCAAACTAGAGGGCCTACGTTCAATCTCCAGCTCTACTTCCTGCCTCCACAGCCCTACCAATACAGACCACAGGAGGCACTAGTAGGGCCATGCTACTCATGTGGGAGACTCTGAGTTCTCAGCTCCCAACCACCCTGCCCAGCCCTGGCTGTTGGAGGAATCTGAACAGTGAAACAGCAGATTGGCCATTTCTTTTGGTCTGTCACCCTGTTTCTCTCGCTCTTTCAGCCATTTGAATCAACTTTAAAAAACAACAGGGGAAGAACTCAAAGTATTTGGGTATTAATACCATAGAAAACTTCTCCAAGGACATTCTTTCAAAATTTTATACTTAAAAACTTGCTCTATACCCCTTCTGTTTTATCTTAGACATATATGTGATTTTGCTTTCTCAAAAAATACAAATTTCTTACATTAGTTGTTCAACTTAAAGACAGAACGAACATTTTTGAATACAGCATTGTTTACTTACAAATTGAAAAATTCTCCATATAAAAATGCAAATGAGAACATAAGTAATGGCTGGACGTATATCGCAACCCCATAGAAATCCATGGGGATGATCTCTTTGTCCAGCATCCTCAGGTACTGTAGGAACAACCTTCAAGACAAAGAAAACTCAGTTCTTAAAAATGCAATTGAGGCAGTAAACAGAGATCCAAATCTATATAGCCAACTCCATTATTTTCCTTTCAGGAAACGGGCTGTAGAATCATAACAAATAGAAGGCACCACAGGAAATTCTTCTGCAAACTTGTACCTACTATCACTCAGTGAAAAAGAAGCACGATAGAGAGAAAAGCAGGAATTTCTCAAACTGGATTCAAATACAAGCGCCCCCACACCTTCCAAATGATGGGACAGGAACAGAGAAGGCCACAGAAAGAAGCTGAGTAATGTAAGTTCAGCTACTTTCCTTTTTTTAAACACCAAATTGGGTTTTATATATATATAAAGTATATTATATTCTCCGTGAAAAGATTTCCCTACTGGAAAGGAAAAAAAAAAGTTATCTGAAGCTTTCAAATGAACTTTGAGGTGTGGTTCTTTTGTTTAATGATTAAGATTACATTCCACAGAATTGCCTTGCTCAGTTCCCAGTCCCAGCTCCTGACTCCAGCTTGCTGCTCATGCAGAATCGAGGAAGCAGCAATGGCTCCAGTAACGGAGGTCCTGCCCCCACAAGGGAAAGCCAAGTTGTATGCGTGACTCCCTGACTCAATCTTCACAACTCTCAAACAAATATTTCAATTAAAAAGTCTAAAAGTCACTGACAGTACTTTGGGTTTAGAGTTCTTGTTTAAAAAGAGTCATTTTGTTGACTTGGGAGGTAGAGTGAAAGAGAAAGAGTCAGAGACTTCTCTCCACTTCCCCAAATGGCAAAAACTGGCAGCTAGGTCTGGTCGAAGACAGGTGCCTAGGACCAGATCTAGGTCTCCCACATGGGATGCAGGAGTCCAAGCACATGGCCAGCTTCTGTTGCTCTCCTAGGTGCATCAGAGGAAGTGGATCAGAAGTGGTGCAGCCAGTATTGCAGTGTGGGAGGGCAATGTCATGGGAGGTAACTTTATCAGCGATGTCACAATTCTGCCCATGCGTTTAGATTCTGAAGCCCTGCACTCCAACTCTATAGGTTTCTCCTGTTATCTAGGAGGGAATGATCTATTTTCACACCCGGGAAATTGAAAGGGAAGCTCTATTTTTGGCCCTTCATGGTTGTGATGCCATAACTGTGACCTTGGAAATCACTTCTTCTCTCCCATTGGTCTTGAGCAAAATACAGCTCAAGACTTTCAACCTGGTTCTGTAGTTCAACTCTCTCTGGATCAAGCCCCAGATGCCACTTTACGAAAAATAAAGCACACAGGCAGGGAAAAGAAGAAGATGACAAATGCACTTTAAAGAGCAATCTGAACTACAGGCTTAGTTCTTTCTGGGCTTCAATCCAAAATCTCTATAGCAAATTTTCCTTTGGTAGACAGTAGACCTTTCTGCCTAAGGGGGGGAAAAACTTACCAAGTATTCTCCCCTCCAAGATCTTTTTTATAACTCTAATCCTCGCAGCCAGGCTGCTCTCTATATATTTATTTAATATATACCAAGTAAATAAGCCTGATAATTTTTTTGAGAGGCAGAAAAAGAATTAGTCCTCTCGTTGGGATGCCTAGATTGCCAGAGCCAGAAAGCTGGCAGTTACTCCAGATTCCTTCTTTCTCTCGTCCTTCATATCTAATAATGAAGTAATACTCATTTTAACTTTTAGTGCCTAACTATGTGCCTACTCACTATTTCCTCCTCTAGCCCTACCACTCTGTTATCATTCACTTCAGTTCTATCTTGAGTTTTGCTTCTCTGACATCTAACCTACATCCTTACCTAGGCTCAGGAAGGCCCAAGTCTAACTCCCGGAAAGGCTTCAACCAGCTCCCCAACACCTACAGCACTTGGACTCTATGTCCCTAGCAAGCACGCCAACACATCAGTTCCTGAGCCCACTCTCCACTAACACAGCTGCTTTTCTCTTCATGCACCACTGTGCTTCATGCCTCCACTGCTTAAACCAGCTCCTCAGCCTAAAGACTTCCCTCATCCAAGAAAATACCATCTCTTCCAACCTTCAATTTCCCTAGCAGGTTGTGTGTATGCTTCAGTAAGCATTTGATTCTTTATACTAGTGTTTTATACTCATTTTTGTCTTCTCTCCCCCTGCACAGCTTGATGCTGGTGCTCAGACAACAAACACACACACACACCTACAGTACAATAAATGAATAAACAGAATAATTACAACTGCCTCAATGTTTAAATGGTCTTTTAAAAAAATAAGAGTGTGTAATAAAACATGGCAAGAGAAATACCACTTAACATGCCAACAACTACTACCATGAATACTGAAGCAGGAAAAATCTATTACCTAATAATAAACTGAAGCTAACAAACAAACAAACAAAAAAACCTCTGGGAATTCATAATTGCTATCCTTTAACAATATCATCTCTGTTAACAAGACAAAGATAAAAGAGGGTAAACAATCTCACTTAAAAGTATCTCTCAGGGGCACTCTTTATTGGAAGATGATGAATTATAATCCCAAACTCTGAAGCTAGCTCAGCTGTCCTTTCAAGACAAGAGGTTTCATCACTACATGGATTTAGGGATTTCTGCCCTTAACTTTGTCAGAGTTGGAAGGACCATGTGTCACTGACCCCCGCTCAAACTTTAAAACAAAAAGGCTACTTCATTTGGAACTCAAGAACCATTCCCATACTTTGTGTTGTCCAGTAGACCAAGTTCCTGATACCCAGGTCCTGCTCTACCACAGGAGCAAACCACACAATACACCTGGCCACAGTGAGGGCTGGCCTCAGACCCTGAGACCACACTGGCTCAGATTACATAACCCTGAGGGCACCCAGACTCACTTCATGTAGCTCATCCTGGAACCACCCCACATATAAATGTGGGGTGGCCCCGGGGGGCTCCATCCACGGAGAAGAGGGTTAAATATCCACTACCACCATCCACAGCCTCCGTGGGAAGAATACTGGCTTTGTTTACAATCCACTCCTGGCAACTGGAGCGTACCACTGCAGAGCCAGCTATGGGGGACCAGGGAGAGCCAGGGAACATGGATCCCACAGGCCTGTGGTGCCACAACACACAACTGCTAGGGCATCATGATGGCCCCTTTGGTACACTTTCTATCCCAGCATAATACAGGTCTGAACCCATCCCACCAGAGCCTGTGACACACCCTCTCGCCACCAGCTCACCCCTCCTCATAAATGGAATAGTCCAACTGCCACTGGGAGTCACCCTCCATCTTGGTGGAAGGCTCTCTGAAATGGGCAGGTGCTATACCTGGGGAGGCCCCACACACCCAGAAAATAAAAGTGTTTGGGCCTGGAGAATGGAACGGGGCCTCAGGCCCTGTGCTGTAGTTTGGGCTATACAGCCAGGAAGGTTGGGGCTGTGGCGCAGACACTCAGGACTTGGGAAGCTGTGGTGCTCACTGCCAAGCTCTTCCCAAGGTCCTCGTGGTGCAGTTCCATGAGGTGACTGCAGTGTGCTCCCTTGACCCAGCAGCTAGCCAGCCCAGGCCTGAGCCTCAGCAGCTGATCCACGGTAACGGAGGCAAATCATGAGGACAGCCCGTCGTGTCCAAGTGCCATCAGGCAGCTAGCTGGTCTATAATGACACTCAAAGGGTGGGAGGAATCTGGGATCTCCATTCCACATGTGCCCACCTGGGAAAGAGGCTGGAAGGGACCACCCACTAACAGGCATCCTCTTGCCTTCTGAGGATATGGCACCTGTGCACTTCCACTTGGAGCCCTGACCCAGTCCAGGGACCATGCCAAAGGACAGAGGCAGGAAGCCTCATTTCTGATGCAAAACCCTGGTCTCTCCAGTCCTGGGTTCTCACAGCACTCACCTGCCCATTGCCTGTCCCTCTGTACAGATCAGGACCCAGAAAACTCTACTGAAGAAGTGGCTGAGAGAATGTGGCATGCAATGCTTGCTTGCTGGACTCCCTGCAGAAACAAACGAGGTTAGTTAGGGACACTTTTGTCCACCATGCCTCCTTATTCGATCCATTCCCTGAGACACTTCTTCATCCAAGGTGGACATCCCACTTGGCCCAGCAAGCAAGAAAGCGTGATCACCTGCTCTGGGGGTTGCTGGGCCAAGTGCAATGCCCATCCCAGAACTAAAAGGCCTCTGGCTTGAGCCATCCCTGTAGCCAGAGAACATGGACTCAGGAGGTCATCCTTTACCCACACATCCCTGTAACGTAAGACCATCCCCACATCCTCATGCTCCGGTCACACAAGGTTATCTATGGAACTGAAGGCCAATGTCATGTGAAGTCATCCTAAGCCACAGTTCTGTCACACAAGGTCATCATTGTACTCACAGACCCAGTTGTTAGAGGCCACCCTGCATCTACAGATCGCACACCCATCAAGTCAGCTCTGCATGCAAACGACCTGTCTGTCACATGAGGCTATCACTGCATCCAAAAGCCACTCTCATTGTGTGGCCCTCCCTGCACACACAGGTCACCATCATGTGAGGCAATGCCTGCACACAAGACACATGTCATGTGAGGCCTTCCCTGTATACACAGGTGCTGTCACATAAGGTCATCCTGATCCAACAGCCCCTATCACATGAGATCATTTCTGCACAATAAGGCCCCTGTTGCATAAACCCTTCCTTGCAACCAAAAGTTCATTTCATGCAGGACCATGCCTGCATCCAAAACCCCTTTGGGTCACTCAAGACTGTAACTGATCCGACACACACTTGCTTTCTAGGCATTCCCAGAAAACACAGGGGCCAATTTTTGATGCCATGCTGGATCACAGCACCAAGTTGCAGGAAGCCATCAGGCACACACAGCCTCTGTCAGAGGAGGACACATCTACAACCAATGGCCAAGGTAGTGCAAGGCCATGCTGCACCTACAGGTCCTTCTCGCAAGAGGCCATCCTGGCACACATAAGTCCATCCTGACTACATGGACCCTGGACCTACAAGGTCATCCAACAACCCATTAAGACCTCTCATGCAAACACAGGCTCAGATCTATAAAGATGTCACTTCACCCACAGGCCTTGGACGTGTAAGGCCATCTCCACAAGAGATGTCCCAGATATGTGTTGTAATCCCTATACCTACAGCTCACTGTTGCATGAGGCAGTCTAAGCACCCAAAGACCCTGCATACACACAGTCATCCCCACACCCACAGGCACCATTTGTTTGAGGCCATCCCTGCACCCACAAAAATGATGGGTGAGGTCATCTTTGACCCCACAAGCCCTGCACCAACGAGGCTATCCCCACATGCATAGGCCCTGGACACATGAGGCCACCCCTGCTCCCTCAAACCCTTGTCATTGTGGCAGAACCTGCACCCACCCATGGCGTGAGAGGCTGTCCTGTACCCACAGGACCCAGGTGGATTAGATTGTCCCTGAACACAGAGGCCCTCAACATGGGAGCTGTCAACACATGCATGGGCTAAGGTCTTACTAGCCCTACCCCACACCCACAAGAGTTTTAAAAGGCAAGGCTGTCCCTGTACCCAAAAGTCCCTTACCCTACAGCCCACAGGCTCCCATCACACAAGGCTGTCCTGAACATATAGGCCATGCACACAGAGACAGTACTTGCACCTATGAGCCCAACACATGAGGCCTTCCTTGCACCCAAAGGCCTCTGTGCCATGAGAGGCCAACCCACACCCATGGACACCTTTTGTACAGTGCTGCCTCCCTCCCCTCCCCGCCCCCGCCTGCCCCAGGCCTTTAGCATGTGAGGCCACCCTGAACCCAAAGGCCCCTGTTGCGCAAGGCCATCTCTTCATCCACAGAACCCTCTCAATGCAAAGCCATCTCTGAACCCACAGGCACCAGATGGTGAGCTAATCCACACACACGGGCCAAAATCACACCAGGGCTGCCCCGCACCCATAGGCCCTGGCATGGCAACGCCAACCCACTTCCAAAGGAACCTGACACCAAACTCCACAGGCTCATGTGGTGGGATACCATCCCATACCCACAGGCCCGTGTCATACAATGCCATCCCTGCAAGCTCAGATCCCTCTTCTGTGAGACCACATCTATACTCACAGGACCCAGATGGGTGAGGCCATTACTTTACCCAAAGGTCCTGTTGCATGAGGCCTTCTCTGCCCCCATAGACCCTTGTCTCAAAAGACCATTTCTGCAACCACAGGCCAGGAAGCCTGAGGTTATCTTAGTGAAGATCTCTTCTGGTCAAGCCTGTTGGGAGTTCTCTGCCCCTCCTAGATGTTGTTTCCCAATTCTTTCTCTAGATTAGGGAAATTTTCCTTTATTGTTTCATTAAATACATTTGCAAACTCAGCTTCTCTTTCTGCACCTTCTGGGACTCCCATAACTCTTATATTTCGTCTCTTAATAGTGCCTTTCTAAAATTCTTCCGCAGTAAAGAGAAGTTAAAAGAATTTGCCTCTTTCAAACCTGCCCTACAAACAATACTTCAAGATGTTCTCTTGACAGAGAAGAGGCCTAGCACCAAACAAAACCAAAGGCAAATGGGAAGAATATCCCAGTAAAATCACAACAGAAGACTAAACCAACGAACAGCCCATTCCTAAAATGACAGGACCAAAGTACCACCCATACATATTAATCTCCGAATGTAAACGGTTTAAGCTCAATCAAACATCATAGATGAGTAGACTGGATTAAAAAACAAAACCCGTCTGTCTATTGTCTGGAAGAGACACACTTCACCAACAAAGATCAGCAGAAACTATGTTGCATGGGTTTTGTTGTTTTCTGTTGGTTTCATCTCTTCAAAACACTTTCTTCTGATTAAATCATTCAATGACTCGTAGAACATGCAGTGGCATCAATTTCTTCAAGAAGGTTCTTGATTTTCATTTCTCCAGCTACAAGTTAGTCATTTAATAGCATGTTGTTTAACTTCATGGTGTTGTTAATGTCCTATTTCTCCCTGATGTTGATTTTGTTTTGTGGCTCTTCAATTAAAGGGCTGTACAGTAGTTGTGTAATGGAGACACTCATATCCAGTAACATGTCATTTAACTTCCTGGCATTGTAAACTTCTATTTTTTCTATTATTGACTTTGTATCATGACTTTCTATTTAAGGGGATGTACACTAGCTGCGAAATGGAGACTAACATCCAGATGTGAGGATGCAGTGTAGGATGCATTTCTGCCTCCAGTCAAGGATGGACTTAAAATGAAACTGTTTTACTATATCTTGACAATAGGATTCTGGACTCTGCCATTGTCCATGTCTGCAATGATGGACATATGACTGTGTATGAAGAACTATATGTTAGTAATGATATAGAGGAACTAGGTGGGGGGAGGGAATTGGGGAGGGGATAAGGGAAATGCCAGGAGCCTATGGAACTGTATCATAAAATGATAATAATAATAAAATGTAAAAAAAAAAAAAAAAGAAAAAAATTGACCCCTAGAGCATAAGGCTGTTGTCGCATAGCACAACCAACATTCTACCTCTGGCTTCATGCTGGCAGGCTCATTCACCTGCTCAACCCAGAAACTCACACTCTTGACCACTGACATCTCCTTGCTCAGACCGACACTCGGGGGGGCCCTGTCAAACAGTGCCTGGTAAAGTAGCCTTAACCAAAAAAGACCACCTTCATCTTACTTCCATCCCAGACAGGCCAGGTCCAAATCTCCCTTAGGGTAATCTCCGATGGCAGCAGGATCCTGGAAGGCTATTTCTCACATCAGCTCCAATGTGAGTCAAAGTCTGCACTACACATGGCCCAGCCAGTAACTCCATGCCAGCTGTCCACACAGCAAAGTCCTTCATTTACACAAGGAAAGGACCTCATTTTCTCCAATTAGTAAAGACCTAAACGTGCTCTGATGGGTAGGAGAGCCAGAAGAAAGGAGAGAGAGAGAGAGAGAGACAGGCCATGGCAGGTGCTTCAGAAAGCAGCCCAATTCTGCCCGCACCCACCAATGCTTAACTATCCTTTCTGGTAACTTGTACTTACTTAGTAGCTGCTCATCTAGGCTGAACCAGCAATGAATGAATTACACATGCCCGAGCTGATGCCCACTAGGGATGCAGGGAGACTCAATTTGTTGACAATCTTCAACTTGGAGCAACTCTCCAGGACTTCCTGATTGAGGATCCTGAGCAGAAAGTCCCAGATCTGCAACACCTCCATCAGCAAGTGCTCAAAGTCCTTCTTTTTGACTTTTGACACCTCTTCCCTCAGGTGCAGGGCTACAAAAGACAGGCACATCTTCTCAGCTTCTGATCACTGTCACTGCTCACCAGGCCTTTGGCAGACAGGCTTCCTAGTCAGCTTCCAGGGCCTGCCTCCTGTAGGCCTCTCCGATTCTCACTCATCTGCTCTAACAAGTTCATCAATTCATTCAATCAATAAGCTGATTTAATTAATTAACCAACCATTTTGGCTTGTTCACTTGATTGATTTAGTTCAACTGTTTAGTTGGTTTTTCAAAGAAATAAAATTTCAAACCCCACACATCTGACCCATGAAAGCACACACACACACACCAAGTGTGCATATGCACCAGGATAGCAGGGCACACAGCAAGCACCCTGTCGGTCAGGAGAAAAACGGGGACCCACCCTGCTGGCTACCTCCTCCTGCACCACAAACCCTGCACTGCCTTCTCTGTCAGAATCCCAGCTAACTACAGATGGAGCAGAACGCTGGATCTTCTGCAAGGGGCCACAGTGCTCCCCACTGCCCTGCCCTGGCGCCATCACAGGTAATGAAAGTGACCACCCCGCAGCCCAAGTCAATCAGATTTTTCTCAAAACCAGAATCCCCAAGGAAGAGACAGGCCTTCAGGGACCTAGGCTTCCACGGAGCACCTAGAGCTGGCAGCCACCTGGCCCACACTTGCTCCAGATACCTTCAAGACCTTACAGCCACAACTCCCACAACTGAGTTCAGGGACCTTCTACCCCACACGGACTCTAAGGAAGGCCCAGGCCCTAACAGGGAGCAGATGAGGACAGGGATACCTCAGGGCCACCTCACTTACCCAGCAGTCTTCCTCAGGGCCACCAGCATCATCCATGGCCCACCACTGCTGCCACCATCACCACTGGACCTTGACTCAGTGTGCTTGCACAGCGCCCTCTGGCTCCTGCAGGCTGGGAAAGGCAGGAACGCATCCACACTGGGAAGAACTGAGAGCAACCAGGCTCAAACCTTCCCAAGGCTATGCAGCATTCTTAGCTTCAGGTGGAGTGGGAGAGGCAGGGCTTCCTCAGCAAGGTCAGGCTTTCCTGCATCTGGACCTTCACCTCATGCACTGAAAAGCAGAAAAGCAAAACCAGAGGTCAGTCATTTCCATTGCCAAGTCCTGAAAGCTAGGCATGCCAGGCTAAGGGGTAATGTGTTCTTTAGCTCAGCTTCAAGCATGTCTGCATCAACAGGGAGAGTGACTTCATCCAGATCCGAGGAATCCTGGGGCAGAGCTGCAAACAGGTGGGCAGATTCATCCCAGCTCCAAACCCACCACCTTCAGGATGTGCATTTTACATGATCCCCAAGTTACCACACACCTAGGAACAGTGTCTTCCCTCCATTGAAGTGCAGGCAGTGAGATGCTCACGACTTTGACAAGGGAGGTGTGCACATTGTCCAAGCGTCAGGAACTGAAGGGACCTACACATTGAGTCACCCCCCACATTTACTCTGAGGACCTGCTCCCTTCACCACCCTGCACCTACACCTGCACCCGGACATGCCGCCATCCATGCCCTGCACCTGTCACCACAGCTGGCTGCTCGCAGGTGCAAATGGACCTCCATCCATATTACCCAGTTAAGGCTCTGGGGTATGTCTCTGTGAGGGGGCAATATCACAGCATTAGGTAGGCATCAGTCTCAGTGAACAGGCTATGTGAGTAGGAGGGGCCAAGAAAATGGGAAATTTAGAAGGAAAAAAAATGACTCTCTCTATGCTGGAAGGAGGACCCAAAACTTGAAGCACCATAAACATTTATATAGCGGAAATCTTGTCATTGGTCAGTGAGCTGACTGGGTGGGGTCCAGCCCTCTCTTGGGGGTTGGGAGAACTTTACACTAATCTTCTCCCCAAGCATCGCATGCCAGATGAATCCTGGGCAGAGCTGGAAATTTTATGTTTTGTAAATTTTTATATACACACATACATACATATACACACCTACATACATATACACACATATATCAGGAAGTTAAGCTTATAATAGAAGAATCAAGGAGTATGCCATTGTAAAAAATTGGGAACAAATCAGAGCAGGGGGAATGGAAGGGAATGGGGGAGAGTGGTGAGACCCTTCACTTAAAATAAGCATCAAAAAAAAAAAAAGAATCCTTTTAAAAAATGACATGATAATCCCATGATGGTGCAAGCATGTCTGTGCTGCCTTCACCCACCTCCTGCATGACCTGAGCTCACCACCTGGGACACAGAACCCACCACCTGCACCACCCCTGCTTACGGGTCTCTACCAACTCCAAAGTACAGTCTCACTTCACCTCAGCTGCTCAGGACAGCATCCTCCCTACCTGGGGTCCCAGGCGATGCCTCCTCAGACCCTAGCTTCCTTCCCTGCTCTAGGCAGACCCCACACTTCCATGCTGACCAGATGAAGTCCATGCTTCCTTCACATCCCAAGGAAGTCCTGGACATGCTCCCTCCAGTGACCAACAACCTGCTCCTCTCTCCCATGCAGACCTGCGCGCTTCTCCCCAAGCTGAACTGTGCTTCCCCAGGACCAAGGATGAATCCCACGCTCCCCCGCCACTGCTCCCAGTCCCTGACCGGGATTCCAGCCAACCCTGCATTCCATGCACACATACCCTCCCCACCACAGCCACCCATGGAAGAACGCCCCTTCCTGCTTCCCCTTCCCAGCCCTACCATGGACTGGCCCCTCCTGGTTGCTTCCTCAGGGTACTCCACCCACTGCCACACATCTGGGGTTCATCTGGGAACTCTGCAGCCACCACTCCTGCACGGTGACCCACGCTGCTTCTTTACTTGTGCGCCGCGTGAGAAAGCTTCGTCTGCACGTGGGGAAGATTTCCTCATGCCACAACTTGGGGTCTCTTGCTGTCCCCACAGAAGACTTCTCTGGTTTCAGATGCACCCCACACTGCGAGGCCCGGCCCACACACAGACCCATGCTGTCCCACCCTGCCACCATGCAGATCCATGGCTCCACGCCCTCTCCACAACAGCACACCTGCGCCACCCAGCCCACCTCTCCTCTAGTGGCTGCACACTGGCCTCCCGAGAGTCATGACTACCACCATTGGTAAAGTCCCGGGCAGAATGTGGCTGACACAGTGGGCCACCACAGCCAAGGCAGGCATGGGAAGTTGATGCCTGATGTTCCTGCCCATGCTCGCATTGGACCAGCTCTGTTTTGGGGGAGAGGCAGAGTCCTGGAAATAGGTCTCATCAAGCTACATGATTTTGCCCTAGTCCAACAGGGAGCCCTGTAAATTAGCCTCCTCTAACCTCCTCAGTCCCACAGACAGCGTATTATCATTTTCTCACCCTGATAGTTCACCCTCAACAGACTGCTCACCAGTGGGCTCTGCAGGGCCGGGTCTGTTCTGATGGCCACCTGCGGCTCCAGCCCACACAAACTGAATCCCCCACACCCCAGAGCATGCACACATAGTGCCTTGCCTGCACTTCCAGGCCAAAACAGTAGTTATGGGGGCTCCAGCACTCTCAACCCTGCTCCCTCAGCAAGCTGCTGGCTCACAAGGCACTGTAATACTGGTGCTTTCTTAGGCAACCCTGCAGCACCAGCCCACAGGACCTGAATCCCCTGCCCTACAACATGCCCATGCTGCCATCCCGCCTGGCAATAAAGGGCCAAAGGGGCTCTGGCAGGGCCTTCCACACTCCCAGGTTGTCTACCAGCCTCTCCAGAGCCGCTAGAGCTCAGCTGGCATTCCACAAGCCTCAGACCACTGCCTCCCATATCCACTGCAGTAGGGCAAGGTGGGCTTCTCAAGCAACCCACATCCATCCTGCTCCCACAGCCACCTGCTGGCTCCTCCAGGGCCATTCCGGCTTGCTCAGGAGGTTCTACCCTCCCCCCAGTACCCCAAGCCTGTCCACCATCCACTCTGGAGACAGGCCAGCTGGCTGACACCCCTCCAGTTCCCAGCCTGCCACCTGAACTTCTAGCCCACCCACATCACTACCCCACCAACTGTTCCAGGCACATGTACACTCAGCCACCCACCTGCTCCCTCAGCAGGGCTGCCCACTGATCTAGGGCTGGGCCCATCTGACAGCAATCTGTAGCAACAGCCCATAGGATCTGAATCCCCGGGCCCAGAGCATGCCCACATCTGAGGGGAGCAGGGTGCCAAAGCACGTCCCAGGAATAGGAAAGGCCCTCTCAGGATGGCAGCCTCCCCAGGGCCAGGAGGCGGAGTTGGTCTTACCAGCAGGCAAACAGGAAGTCACAGGGATAGGCTGATGCCCTCGCTGCAATTATGTCATTGCAACTGGCCTATCAGGTAGCACCAAGTGGGCCCACGGGGAGAAGTGATTCGTGGAGAGCAGTATAAAAGCAGCCACTGAAAGCTATAAGATGGACGAGAAGAACGATGGACGGAACGAGAAGAATGGGGCAGCAGAGAGGGGTACAAAAGCTAAGCGAAAAGCTAAGCAAAAAGCTAAGGCATAGAGGGAGAAAAAGCAGCAGAGAGGGGTTACAAAAGCAGTAAGACCTATGCAGAGAAAAGTACAGGGACAAGAACGGGGGGAAAGCAGCAGAGAGGGGTACAAAAGCAATAAGGCCTATGAGGAGAACGGGGAAAAAAGCAGCAGAGAGAGGGCTAGAAAAGCAGCAGAGAAGATCTACAGGGAAAAAAGCAGTGGAGAAAGAGTATAAAAGCAGCCGCTTTTGGCAATAAGGGGTCCGGTTGCGGTTCCGGCTTTTCCCAGACCCTCAAGAGTGTGCCTCGCAGGTAGTGTCACCGAAGGTCAGCCACACATGTCCCCCTCACTGCCCTGCTTACCTGTTTCAGTGAAAAAGTGGCTCATGTGGCCTCCCACATTCCCAGCCCACTTACCAGCCCCTCTACTGTCAGCAGGACTTGGCCAATGCCTCATGCACAACAAGCCGTTGGCCCCTGCTGCTCTTGGGGAAGGCAAGCTTCTCCATC